CACACACACACACACACACACACACACACACACACACACACAGCTCAGTGTTTTCCTCTCTGCAGACCCGTTCAGATGAAACGCTCACTTTGTCTAAAAAGCTCCATCTCCACCTGTTTTTGTGTTTTTATTCCTGTGTTGTGAGTCCTACACACGTGCACGCTGCATCAGAGCTGATCGCTCCTGTCCATCACCCGTCCTCACTGCGTGGTGTTGTAAAAAGCTGCAGCAGGTGAGACCCCAGCTCAGACCAAACCTCTACACCTGCTGTATGAATGTTTTCATCACAGTTTTAATAAACTGTTGTCAGGAGGACACGCTGCAGAGGTGAAACATCTGGATCAGAGTCAGAGCCGTGTTTAAACAGATAACCTGCTTTAAACAACAGGTTATCTGTTTAATAAAGATAACCTGTTGTTTAAAGCAGGGCTGCAGGTCAGCAGTTATAACGTTAGTGTTTGTAAGTTGTGTTTTATTAGGGGCAGATATACGGGTTTTTTTTACACGTTTTCATTCAATAATTGATTTGTTTTGATTTTTAATGGTCTTTAATGTTTTTAAGAATTAATTAAAGTCAATTAGTTTTTAAAAAAAAAAAACATAATTATTCACTCTTTAAGGGGTCCCCAGACCCAAACTGTTGACAGCTCCTTCCAGTTGACCTATAATCCTCACACTAAGTGTTTACTTGTGTAAAAGTCTGTTTAACCTGTTAAAATACAGCAGAATGCAGGAAATGACCTCTGCTGCATTCAAAATGTTCTGGAGGACCCCCAGACCCCCCAACAGTGATTTTACACTGTTTTCTCCTGTATTAAATAACACACACATTGGTTAAACAAATACACAAACTGGACGATGTTATTTAGCAGCTTTTAAAAAGGCCAAAAGTTACTTTTCTTATGAGTTCAGCGGCTCAAAACCTCACCAAGTTCAGGTCAAAACTTACTGAGTTAAAGTGAACTGAAACTGGTTTAATCAGAAAATATCTTTAAATCTAATCAACAAACAGGAAGTTTGTGTTTGTGTTCAACTGTTTCTGTGTTTGTTTTATTAAAGACAAAAACATTAAAACATGGCAGCTTATTAAACTTCTTCAGGATAATATTTAAAGTGTAACTTCACCACAGACTCTGTTATCCGTGGTTCGGTTCGGCCGGTACCGACCTGAGATGATGATGTTGGGGACGTTTCCCTCCCGGGCGAACACCTCCAGGCGGCTCACGGTCTCCTCGTTCCCCACGATGTCGCTGAGCTTCAGCGGCCGGTACTTCTCCACCCAGGGCAGCTCGTAGGAGCTCCGGGACGACGGGTCCCCGGCCTCCGCCGGCTTCTGCCCGCTCGGTGCCTCCGCCATGTCCGCGTCCATGATGATGTCTGCCCGCGAACCGAGCGCCTTTCCCTCCCTGGTGACTGGAACCTGATTGGCTGAGCGCCCCAGTGTGCGCGCTGTGATTGGTCAGTGAACTATCGCGATATTTGACATCTGCCGTGCTTAAAAACTTTATTAACATCATCATAATAAACATTTTAAGCTGTAAATAATTTTAAAAAAGTGCTGTAGAACCACTTAATAACTTAAAACTGCCAAATAATAAGACAAAGACAAAAAAACTATGTTAAATTTATAGATAAATGTGTTTAAATATATTTACATTTTATTTATTACCTCATTAGTGATAATTGTCTTATATCAGCATTTGTGAATTTCTTTGTTTTTTGCAACATTGTACTTAATTAATTAATTTATTGTAATTAAGGTTTATAGGTTATGTTTTAAGAAAAATGGATATCTAATATTTTGTAAAATTTTGCTGTTTTGGTTTATTTTGTAAAGAACAGAATGGGTGTAGTTTAGTTTCTGGCACAGACTTTGTCAGCAGATGACCTTTGACTGTAGTAATTATTTTTATTTTATTGTATGTTTTTATATTTTATTTTAGTTTATTGTCTGTGTGACCAATTTTTGTCACAAGAATGAGTTTTACTATTTTCACCAAGGCTGTCTCAAATTAAAAAGTAGCAAAAACTAACTAACAAGCCAACCTTATAGCTAAATGTAGCACTAAAGTAAAATGAACAAAACTGATAAATACTTATTAAGTTTTCTAACATCAGCACATATAAATAAAAAACATTATACATACATATATATATATTTTTTTTTTTCAGGTAAATGTTAATCCTATGTCACTCTTAAAGATAGTAAACAGCTAAATAATATTTTGGACAGCGTGTCTCCTCAGTCTGCCCTGACCAATCAGTTTTCTTTATTTGAGGTTCTTGAACGTTGGTTGTTGTTTTTCTGGGACTACAGGTGTAAATTAGCCTCAGGTTAAATCTGGTTTAATACATCAAATCATGTTTTTATTGCACGCTGTCCCGAACAAATAAAACCATTCATTCATTCATTGGCCAACCTGACTGACATGAATGAAGGGTCAGATTTATTGAGTATGCAGATAAAAGTGTTTTGTTTACACTGAGTGTGTACCTGCATTTTAAAATCACATATCAGTATATCTGTAAAATCTTTGTATTAAACACTTTTAAACAACACAGTATTGTGTATTTCAGTATCATCTATTTTATGTTGGATTTGATTGTTGTAGTGAGGAGATTTAAACAGAACCTGCTGCTCCAGAAAGTGGAATTTAACTCAATAACTACACATATCAATGCTGCAGACATATAATCAAGAGGTGCGCCCCCTGTGGCCGTTCAGTTGAACGGCAGCCCGATGTATTTAGCAGGAGGTGCGCCCCCTGTGGCCGTTCAGGTGAACGGCAGAGGAGCCGCTCTGGAAGCCGTCACCCTCCGGATCCGAACAGTTCCTTCTTCCGCAAACACAGCTCTCTGCTCCCGTTTCTCGGCTAATCAATGCGGCGGCTCACTTCTGCCTTTCGTTTCCTGGCTCTGTTTGAATTCCACCACTCATTCGACATTTATGAGTGATTGATCCGGCGACATGACGGCCAACAGCCGCTGTTCCGTCGCGGAGCCTCCGGGGCTGGAGACCCAGCGGCGAGAGATCGAGTCTCTGCTGCGGGAGAGTGAGCTCCAAACGGGGGACAGTTGGTGAGTGTTTCTCCCCGCCGACACAGTCGCTCTGACAGGCTTGAACGGTGGCAGCACACGGCCGCTGTTAGCTGACCGGTGACCGGTGGGTTCTGCTGCAGCGTGGAGCTGTTCAGGTTCGGGTTCCGGGTTTGTTTGGACTCTTTCATGGCTCGGTGTTTTCAGTTAGCTCCGTTAGCCGCGTTAGCTGCTAATGCTAAGAGCCAGCTGCGGGTCCGAGTTTGATTCATTTCTCTGGGCTGTTTTCAGAACCACTGACTCATTCTGGGTTCATGATTCTACCAGTTCTACTGGACTGAATCTTTAACAAAAAACTGAAAGTTTTAACAAATATTTTCAGTTTCGGTTTCCTGATAGTGAAGGAGTTATAGAGCTGGAGTTAAAGTTACTCCTCAAGTCTKTGAGTTTCTGTTAAAATTAAATAAATTATGTGACGAGGAAGAGAGAGAGTTTGACAAGTTTGACTTTTGTTGATGTTTCACATCCTTAATTTATTTTGGACAGCTGGAGGCTGTGTCACTGTGTTTACCTGTGTCACTGTGTTTACCTGTGTCACTGTGTTTACCTGTGTTTACCTGTGTCACTGTGTTTACCTGTGTCACTGCTCTTACCTGTGTCACCTGTCTTACCTGTGTCACTGCTCTTACCTGTGTCACTGTGTTTACCTGTGTTTACCTGTGTCACTGTGTTTACCTGTGTTTACCTGTGTCACTGTGTTTACCTGTGTTTACCTGTGTCACTGTGTTTACCTGTGTCACTTTGTTTACCTGTGTCACTGCTCTTACCTGTGTCACTGTGTTTACCTGTGTCACTGTGTTTACCTGTGTCACTTTGTTTACCTGTGTCACTGTGTTTACCTGTGTCACTGTGTTTACCTGTGTCACTTTGTTTACCTGTGTCACTTTGTTTACCTGTGTCACTGTGTTTACCTGTGTCACCTGTCTTACCTGTGTCACTGCTCTTACCTGTGTCACTGCTCTTACCTGTGTCACTGCTCTTACCTGTGTCACTGTGTTTACCTGTGTCACTACTTACTAGGGGTGCATGATAACTGTGTGAAACACAACACAACACAACACAACCCTCTGGTCTGTGACTGCTTCATCTCTGATCAAAATAATCTATAGAAACATCAGATTGTTTGAGTGGGACGAGGCTACAGAACACAGAAAGGGGCGGGGTCGTGTCACTGACAGACCCGTACCATATTTGGTAATGGCACCATTGCACTCCAGAACTAAAGGGGGCGCTGTATCTATAAACATTAGAAATGTCATAAAGTAGTGACTTCAAGTTTCTCTTCGACGTGGAGCTGTTGGAGAAAGACTTYATGTGTTAAAAACTCCAGAAAACAGATTGAATCATTAGTTACATGTTAGCTGACAGCTGGTAAAGAAATGTAAAACCAGTTAGCTAACGTTTATTTATTGCACTGCCTGGTTAGCTGGTTATAAAGGACAAGTTTCATCAGACCATTTAACGAGAAGCTAGAGAATTTTGTTTTTAATTAGCTGCAGTAATTATGTTTTTATTAAATACAGTCTGCACTTAGCTAAAGAAATGCAAAGGTATTTAGCTAGTGTTTATTTATTTACAGGCAGACACTTGTTATTAAAAAGTTATTTGTTCCACATTAAAGGGCATACAGAGGTAAACAGTTGGCTTAAAAAATAAAACAGACCGCTTTTATATTTTTGAGAATGAAATGAAAATTAAATTAATGTCATATTTACTTTCCAGATTCATAGACTTCTGTTCATGATTTTTCTAAGATTTTATTTGAAAAGAAAAAAAGAAAAAAWTCATTTTTTAAACAATGTTCAGATAATATTGTATTGAAAATGAGCAATAAGCTGTGATAGTTTAATTGAACATTTATTGCTTCATAGATTTTAACAGACCAGTACTGTAATGTTTTGTTCAGACTGTAATGAAACAGACTCTTATTTTGAAATCCAGAGTCAGTGAAACTGGCAGTGCCACAGTTACTGTAGTCGTTAATGAGAGAAGTGGTGGTGTCATGTGGAGGCTGAATAAAACAGAAGTAACACCTGTTAACAGGTGAGCAGGTGGATTTATTCACAAAGAAAAAAATCAATAAAGATTAATAAAAAAACCTAAATAAATAATCTGATGTTAGCAGAGGAAACAGCGCCCCCTTCATTTCTGGAGTGCAATGGTTCTGTTTCCATATATGGTCTGACACTGACCCGGCCCCGCCCCTTTCTGCGTTCTACAGCCAGGAGTACTTGGACTCTTCAGTCTGAGTTATGCTCTGTTGACATTCAGACATTGCCCTCTGACATCACTTCCTGTTACTGAATATACATGAATATCTCAGTGGTGTAATTATTTTATGTTTTTAATGTTATTTTTCCAAACATGCATTCTTGTTTATTACAAACGTTTGATGTCACTGACACTTTAGGTTATTTTAGTTTTAATAAATGTGTCTTTTGTTAAACTTTTAAATGAATTTATTGATGATTAATCAGGATTTTTCTCGACTTTAATAACAATAACTCCAGGTTGTGACCTTTGACCTCAGCTGATGTTAAATTAAAACAAATGTTAGATTTTCAGATTGAAACCCAGATTTAGTTTCTGTTCTGAAACATTCAGCTGCAGCTCTGTGACTCTGCAGGTTTTACTTTCTGTTCTGCATTAATAAATCATAAAGCAGCTCAGGAGAATTCAGCACGTCGTTCTTCACACATGTTCAACACTTCGGCTGCCAGATCACGGATCCTGGTCCTGTTTTTTGATTTGGTGTCTTTGATGTTGGATCAAATGTTGGAATCCACACGCTGACCCTCTGGAACCAGCTGAAGTTTGTCTGGAGGGCAGACAGCTTTTACTTTTAAATAAAGATGCTAAAAAGAAGCAAAGTGGGGCTCTGTCAGACAGAAATAAAAGAATAATGAGACGAAAAACAGCCGAAGATTCTCAGACTGTCTGAAGAACACTGGAGCTACACGTGTAAAATCCAAAACCAGTGACGAATCACCTTGTTTGACCGGTTAAAAAAACATATTTTAGCTTTTAAAGTGTGTGTACAACAGAGTATGTGTACAACAGAGTATGTGTACAACAGAGTATGTGTACAACAGAGTATGTGTAC